CACAAAAAGTGCCAATTCTGCAAAAGATGGAAGCAGGTTCTACTCCTCGATTTATAGCAGAATGGTATGGAATTGCAACATTGTGTATGATATAGGGAAAAATGAAGAAAAGCTGTTGAAATTTTACAGCAACAGTGATTCTAACACCGGAATCCGAAACCGGAAATCTTTGCATGAGGCGAAATCGGCAAACCTCGATGCTGTGTACATATAATACAATGAATAATATAATCAATTTATATATGTAATAATAATTTAATGCATATAATAAATTATTGCAATAATGTATATAATAATTTTTATTCATTTTGTATTTTTAGTCCGAATATTATGCTTTACCTTTTCTGTCCTAAAATCTGAAAAATCCTAAAATCCGCACAACCTCTGGTTCCAAGCTTTTAGAATTTCTGGAATTCTACTGTATTTGAATTAAGAATAACTGATTTGTTTTTCACAGAAAGCCGCAATCGGCGCCAGAATTCTGAGGGCCGCACTGGACGTCAGAATTTAGGGAAAGAGACTAGTTAACACAAGTTTTCATTCCAATTACAATGCCCCAATCATCAATCAATTAATGAATAGCAAAATCTGTAGTATGGTTCTAGATCCAGAAAATACCGGTACCGATAGTGAAGAAAGTGACAGAGAGGTTATCGAAAATAAAAAAATTTTGATTGACAGGTTAGTCGGAATTCTCGACCCAGCAATTGCAGGACTTGAACAATGGAACTTTGTAACTGAACAAGAAATTATATATGTGTGTAGAATTAAAGAGAAAGTATTAGTACAAAAAACAAAGCTACTTAAACAACTTAGATTGAAAGAAATGTTTAATAAAGTAAATGTATAAATATTAAGCCTTTTTTTTTTTTTTTTTTTTTTTTTTTTTTTTGTAAATTTTGATACCTTATAGATCATAAATGCTTCATTATTTCATAAATCATGATTTCATGTTTTTAATTTTATAATTTCTGCATGCCACCTTACTAGATTTAAACTGATGATCTGATATCTGGAAAAATCCCAAATCCGGCATGGCCAAATTGCCGGCGAGTTCGGATCTCTTACTTTGTACTGTATAATGTCTTTTAATAATTGGAAGCCTTCATACCTAAATTGAAAGTGATATAGCAATTGGTTAAGGATTTTGTGTTTGAAGGTGTGGAGTAAATTGATAATGCTTTTGCTGAAAAAATTACGAAATTTTGTATTCAGTTTTTCAAAATCGAAAGAAAAAATTTCTTTTACTTCTATCTCCTCATCTTGTTCCTCTTACTGTTTTGTTTGAAATCTTCCAAACTGGCTATAAACTGAATTTTCTTTATCTCTTAAATTATTCTGTAAACCTTGCTTTGCTAATTTATTTTTAACTTATAGAATCTTTGTCTATGCATATATAGAGAGAGAGTTGTGAAATAAGAAATTTAGAATTATTTTTTTACAAGGACCAAAAATTGAAATTCATAATTAATAAATTTAAAAAAATCCTATGATTGCAACAAACAATTTAAAAAATGTTAAAACCAAAATTTTTAAACAAGCAATACCCCAATTAAAAAAATATTGAAATTTAAAGAAAAAAAAACACTACAGAAGAGGAATTCAATCAACTTCAATGCCACTTCATCAGATGGGAGGAACACTGAAATCAATTGAAATATCTCTTCTACAAAAATCCTTGCTTTTCTGTGTCTAGAATCAGTCAATGAATGGTTTTAATGTATTTTAATTATACTATTTAAGTAGCCCACCAGCGGCCGAGCGGTAAAATCGCTGAACACTTTTAGTTCGGTCCGAGGTTCGAATCCCGCGAACAGGCTGGCTGCATGGGCGTTTTCGTGGTTTTCCCCATGTGTAACGTGTATACGAGCCAGTTCCCCTTAGAAAGTCCTCCACGAAGGCATCCCTCCCCTTAGGCAGATAGCCCTAGTGTGCTTTGCCGTATTCTCAATACACACCAATATAATATTTAAGTCCTACAGAAATGAATGACACAAGTGCTGCCACAGAATGAAATATAATTTGTTAACAAAAAACTGATAGTACATCAGTTATAAATAATTCCCTGCCACGTCATTACACTTCTGCCATCTGGCTGAGAGGTCCTGTACAGGAATTACTTCAGTGAAAATTTTTTTCAATGAATTTTTTTAAATTTTGACAAAGGAAAAGATTACTTTATTAATTGAATGAAATGAAGTAAATTCTGACTCTTTTAAAACAAAAATGTGTTTAAAGAACATCATTCAGTATAAAACTTTAATTAAATTTTAATATCAATTATTCTTTAAAAATAGTAGACTCAAAAAGGTGCCTAAAAAGTGGTCAAAAAGTTTTTAATAATTGTTTTGTGGATATGAAGTGAAAAATCATAAAGTTGAATTTTAGTTATTTAAATTACAAATATATATATATATATTGAAAAAGGAAGCAAAGGAATTTTTAAAAAAGCGAAAGGTTTTCATGTCATGGGCTTATCATAATGACTTTGAATATATATAAGGCCCTTGTTTAGTAACAGAATAGTAATTAAGAGAAAAAAATAAAAAAGGTAAGTAAATAAAATAAAAAGCTTATAAACCCTTTAAACCATCCTTCTTTATCCTTTTCTTTTGGAGCTGCCAGGTAAAAAATTTGTGATTTTAAAAGGTATTATAGGGTGTAGACTACTCCAGATTTCTTTAAAAGACTATTAATGAATTTGGAGGAATTTCATTATCGTTTAAAAACTGTTGAGAATTAGATTTTCTTTTTTGTTTTCTATTTCAGTGACTTGTCTCAGTTGACTTGTTACTTCTGTTAATTTGGTTAATAAAGTATTTGCAGTACTTTTTAAATAATTGGAGTTCCAATTTAGTTATTAGTAGAAAAATTAAAATCTTATCTTTTATGAAAAAGTTTAACTTCTGTTAGATTATAAATATTTAGATCAAGATAAACTTTTCCTGTTTGGTTTTTATTGGTCTTATTTAGTTTTTTGGGTAGTTTTTAGACAGTTTGGGTAGATGTTGCTGTTTTTGATGAGATTAAAATTGTTAAAAGTAATATTGTCATCAATATATCTAGAAGTGTGTTCAAATTTACTGAAATCAATATCAGAAAGGCTTTTTAGGAATTTGAATTCTTAAATAGAAATAAGTTAAAAATATGAGTTGAATATGAACTTCCCATTGGAATTCCTTGTGTTTGCAGGTAGAGAAAGTTTGAATGCTAAAAATAGTTATTGTATAGCAAAAAGCTTAGAAAGAAAAAATTAATCTAGAATATTAAGTATTTCAGGAAAAAGTTCTGTCATTTCTAAAAGACTTTCATATATTTCTTTGAGTAGCACAATCGTGTAGAGGTTTTCAAAGTCATAGCAGTTGATATTGTAAATTTTAAGATTTCTAACTTCTTCAATGATTTCCAAGTTGTTGTTAATAATAATAATCTAGCAGAAGTTTCTGTCTTCTTGTTCAAAAACTCTATTACAAATAGTTTTAAGTAGATTGCTAAAAATATTATCAAAGTTCTTTTTTAAGTTTCTTGTACAGTCAAAAGTCTTTAATCCGGACTCGTCGGGACTTCAGCGATTCCGGATTATCGATTTTTCCAGATTATAGATCATCAGTTTAAATCTGGTAAGATGGCATGCAGAAATTATAAAATTAAAAATATGAAACTGTAATTTATGAAATAAATTCTAAAAAGTGAGCAATTATGATCTAAAGGGTATCAAAATTTACAAAAAAAAAAAAAAAAAAAAAAAAAAAGCTTAATATTTATTTGTTTACTTTATTAAACATTTCTTTCAACATGCGCATGTGTAAAGCATACATTACACATAGTCGGAATTAGAAAATTGCAACCAGAAAACTATTTGATTTGTATTCTATGATATTTATAATGAGGAGGAATTTGATTTAAATCATATCAAAGACGGGGTACATCAAGATGAAGTACTACATTATAAGCCGAAATTATAAGCAGAATAAAATAAAAACATCTGCCCTGAAGATAAGGATAGTGCTGACAGATAAACTTCCAGTTCATTGCGTGCTGCGATGTCACCCCCCCACCCCCCGCGCAGAACAGCGTGAAATTTGTAAACAGGTTTACGGAATGGTTAGAGAAACAAGGGCCTTTATCCATTTTTTTGCAGCAATTCCAACTTTTTGTTTGATGGACATCGAAGCATGCTTTCCCTTTGTAGATCCAGCATCGGAAATTCTATTTGACATAATCGAAAGTTCCAACTTACTTTTATAAAATTGCTCTAACAGTCTGCAGAAAATAATAAGCCGTTTCGAATTCGAAGATTAAGGAACAACACAATCTGCAACATTAACTGAAATAGATAATTTTAGCTTAGCTTATACCATCCGTTATTCATTAAACACGCATGCTTAAACGTATTATGAGCATGCATAAAGGAATTATGCGCATTGCGTTGCCACACGCGCAATGCATTTGCGGTGACGCAAGCGCAGAAAGTTTGTAGCTTTGAGGTCCGGATTAACGACTTTTGACTGTACTATTGGAACTATACCCTGTTTTTGGAAGAATGCAACAATTTCATTTTCATTTGATGAAAAGTTAATAGTTGTCATTATTTTGAATCCCCTCCTCAAATAAAATTATATGAAAGTTCTTATTATTGGTTTCAGATTTTTAACTCTAAAAAATGCACATGTGCTTTGCAGGCATGTTGAACATGCATAAACTGAAGAAAAACTCAAACTTAAAGCCCATGTGCAAATTATCATCAAGAAGGAATGGAGTGTGAAAAAATTTGACTTGATTTTGGTTTAATTTTGGGTTTGCTGTATTGAATGGTGATAAATGCACCCAAAATTGGCAAATAATCTCTGGTAAAACTGAAGAGCATCAAAATTTTATATCTACGTTTTCTTTGCAGCATCTCAATTCAGCTTCTAAAATGCTTTATAATATATGAATTACCTGTTATTAGTTTTATTTTTGGTCATAGTTCTTATATATATTTCTTATGTTTCATTCAGTTGTAGATTTTTTTAACCGAATCAATTTAATCTATGGAACTGTTATCGACACATGTACAGAAGAAAGCTGTCCCACCATGTCAGGTGGCCCAAGGTATGTATTTTTTACCTGCTATATTAATTTAATCTCTCCTGAATAGTGATAATAATATATTGTATGGATTTAGTTTTCCTGAGGGTAGTAAAAATGTTAATTTTGGGGTGCAACAAAATTTACGAAAAGATTGCTCGTATAGACACAAGAAATTTTTGGTATCGTAATTCTGCAATTATTGGAAGAATACCTTTGGAATAATTTTCATGGCTCTTGTACATCCTCCATATAAAATTCAACAAACTAGGCCTCCAAATGATGTAATTTGCAAATGTTTTTTTTAAACCTCTGCGAAGAGATTCAACTGGGAAGCACTGTTTCTGGGTCTGTAGCATTTACTTCATAACATCCGCAGTAGGTAGGATTCTTCTTACCATATTTTGAAATATTTCTATATTTTATATATCATATTTGAAAACTTTCAGTCCATATATATATATATATATATATATTATTTTTTTTACTGCTGTAAACAGACTCTTGTCAAAATATTTTCATTGTATCCTTTAATTCTACTTTTCGCACATTTGATCTGATGATTTCATCAAACCTCCCCCATAGAGTTATTCTAGTGAATATTTGGCTTATCACAATTATTTAATTGCTTCTCATATCACTTGATTGATACAATTTCTTCTGATCAACAGTAGATAAAATGTAATGTGCTCAAAAAAGCATTTTTAATCCATGAAACCAGTTTCTGTCATGAATCCTTTTCTTTTCTAGATATTGTTTACTTGTAACATCTTGTAAGTTCATTAAAAAATTCATTTCATGATTGTTCTCACAAAGCCTAGTCAGTGGTAGAATTATCTTTCCTCTTTTTTTTTTTTTCCTTTTCAACACTATTCAATCATCAGGTCTCTGCTCACTCAGTAATTAATTTAGAAAATCATGCTTAATATGACATACACAGCACACTATGTAAACATAATGTTCCAAAAAAATGTTGGAGGCTATGTTCCAAAGAATATCAGAGACTTTGTTAATATAAAGAATTAGTAAATAAAGTTAATTTAGTTATATAGTAAAGCCCTTCATAACTGGCAATATCAAAGTAATGACACTTTTGAAAATCTAAACCTAAAATTTAGGCCTGTGATTAAAAAAGTATGTAATGGGTTAAATATGAAGCCTTAAATGTTGAAAATATGCATTATGTTTTTGACTGCACAGCATATGAAGCCTTATCCAATTAATGAATAAAGGAATTATCCAGAATATGAAGATGAATTATCAGTTCCTTTTTATGCATTCATGTGTGAACTTTGAAGGTAGTGTCCACATTTTTCAGAAACAATTCACAGTGATGTATGCCATATTTACTTTGTCTCTTTCCTGGAAAAATATAAAGAACATTATGTTACGTCACTGTTGGTGTAAATTATGGCCTCTGATTTATGTTCTTAGCTGATAAATTGAGTGCCAAAGATTCTTTTGGTTTTAAAACACGTCTGAAATTCGTGTCAAACATCCTGGATTTATTTACATACCTATTTGAAGAATATAGTGTTAATAAAGATTGTAACTGTACCAGCTTTTACATTTTTTACCAAATATTTTTTAAACATCCTTTCTATCACACTGCTGTAAAACATACATGTGCCATCTAGAAGGAATGCACCTTATCACACAACAACATTGTAATTTGCAGATGCATTATAGTTGCAGATATTGTGTGTGTAGATGTCACTTTATATGTTCTGTTCTGAAGATTGTGGGCAATTGCATCGCACTTTTCATCTGTTGTTTCATACTTTATCACTCCTGAAAATTTCATGACAGTTGTTAAAGAGTCTGATAGCTTTTATTATGAGATGTAGGACAGTCTTTGAATTGCTAAAAATTTCTGTGCATTTTATTATTTAGTAAATATTTGGTTGTAATGGAAGTTTTCTGCAAAAAGATGTTTTTAATAAAGTTATGGTAAGAAACATGAAAGCAGTACCTTTAGCGGTAATAATAGTAATCACCTCCCAAATCTATGATTTTGTGTCAATGGTAGTTTTTCAAAACCTTTGGCCCAGAATTTTAGTGGCCATGAGTTCAAAAACATATCAACATTTTGAACATCCTCTGTAGAATGGAAGATGGTGCCAGCAAGATATAGCTGCAAGTGTGAAAAAGGGTAAAAGTCCAAAGGAGCAATGTTGGGATTATTTGGTGGGTGAGGCAAAAGACCCCATTCGAGTCCATACAGAGTCCAGTTGGTGAATGCAAACACATGTGGTCTTGAATTATCTTGATGGAACATTACCTTTATGCATCGGAACTCAGTTCGACATTTTTCTTTGATAGCAGCATCAAGATAGACTAGCATCTTGTTGTACACCTTACTGTTGAGGGTTTAATCTTTTTCCAAGTACTCTTTGTGGATAATACCACCACAATCTGACCAGACACAAAGCATGATCTTTTTGTTAGTCAAATTGCGCTTTGCTATGCTGCTGACGGGCTCACCAGGCACAGACTAATCCCTCTTTTGGCCTGTGATGTTGAAGTAAATTAACTTTTCATCACAAGGGACAATCCAGTCCAGAATTGTCTCCTTGCATTGAAATTCAAGCAGATTAGTGCATGGCTGAACACGTCTGTCCCTATCTGCTTGAGTCAACTCATGCAGCACCCAACGATTGAATTTGTATGTCTAAGTTTATGCGATGCATAACATGACTAATGGACACGGCATTAATGTCTAACTCATTAGCAAGCTCTCAAGTGATTGCATACTGATACTTCTTCCACAAGTTCTCGCAGGCGGACCTCATCAGCATCAATAGACTGGCCAAAGTAGAGTGTCTGCTTCTTAAATGTCATAGTCCTTGTTTTTGAACTTTTGGTACCAAACCTCCACAGTGTCATATGATACTAAAGCTGTACACATGATTTGGTAATATTCTGTAGCTGACTTTTTGCAACAGAACTAGAAGTAAATGATGGTTCTAATCTGATAGTGTGATAGTTTCTTTCAGATATCTTGTAATTAATGATAACAATATTTTTTTACAAATTTCACAACACAGTGTTCTAAAGCAAGTCTTTTTCTTTCAAATGCCAAAAATCGTTTGACAAAATATAATTAAACATGCCAACACGAATTCTTTGTGCAGACTATATTTGCGGTAACAGTAAGCTTTCGTTAAAACCCGATATTTTTAATATCTGCTGCAGCTTTTAATAGTTTAAGTTATTTTATTATAAAGATATTCAGAGAATGGCTACTAATAACCTTATTCCTAATTAGGTTTGAGTATCTGTGGGCTGATAATGCCCAGTATAAAAGACCTACACCATTACCTGCTCGTAAATATATATCTTTGCTGATGGATTGGATTGAAAATCAAATTAACAATGAAGAAATTTTCCCTGTATCAGTTGGTAAGTGTATAAATTTATAATATATTTCTGTTTATGTGATTTTTCCTATAACATCAGATGGGTAAATAGCATAGTTCATTAGATTTTCTTCATTTAATTGGAATGAAAATTAATGTTTTTTTTCTTGTAACTAAAGCAGGGGTTTTTAACCTTTTGCTTACCATGTATCCCTTTATGTACCACTGATTTTGTAGACACCCCGTGATTTGATCGAAATTCATGATATTTCTCAGAAAATTGAATGCAAAGAAGAGGTATACAAGGTATGATCATAGAATTAAATGTGTTCATATTTAAAAAAAAAAAAAAAAAAAAAAATCTTACCTAAATCAGGAAAAATGTTTTATGTTCAATTGAAGGCATATAGATTATTTGCTGACTTTTGACAATGACTGGACAGTTCCTGGAAACTGTGGGTAGAGACCTTTGTTAAAATTGCATTGAAAGGCTTTGAATGTGTGGAATATCTAAAATTCATTCTCCTTTTAGGATTAGTTTCAGGTGTCAAACAGAAAGGAATCTGCTGGAGCAAGATCAGCTGAGGATGGATACTTGACTACAGCTCCTGTACTGCCCATAAGCTATTTCATGATATTTCTTGATAATGGCCACATTCATGATATTTCATGATGCTATGAAATATCATGGCCTGCCATGGAGAAAGAACTAAGAACCCACCTTGGCATATTTTGGACATAAAAAGCACATCCTTTGCAATAAATTTGCCAGAAGATTCTCATATGTTGCATTAATCATTGTTTCTCATTCTGGCAAAAATTCTTTGTGAATCAAGCCATGACTGTCAAAAAGTGTAATAAGCATTGTTTTTATTCTTGATGTCTCAGATTAGACTTTTGCCTTGCATTGTAACTGAGCCAATCCATGCTATGCTTTTTGAGTTAAGATTTGTGCTTGAGACACCACATTTTGTCTCCTGTCATGATGTAATTCAGAAAATTCATCTAATCCTCTGTATGTATTGAAAAGGTCTTCTGTTGGTAGCTGTACTCATTATTTGCTATCATTTTCACTGTAAGACAGTAATTCACAACTAACACCTTTTTTACTTTTATGTTTTCATGACCATGATAAGTTGTAGATTTATGACTTCAAACAGCATATTTATTGGAATTTATGGTATTAACAAAAATCAGTAACACCTATTACTTTGTCTCCTGTAAACAAGTTTATAAACACATTATGGAGTATATTTTCAAACTTCATTGTTTATTAAAGACAAAATTAAAAGCAGCCAAAAATACAAATAGCCTGGTTAATGAAGCTGTCTTTGCAAAGCTAGAATTTATGTATGTAAGAAAACTTTCCTTATCACAGTTAATTAATCCATCTACTAAAGCACACTATGCAGAATTGCATTAAATGATAACTGTAAACATTTAGATTGATTATAATTCATCCATCAGTTAGTATAAATTTTAGAGGTAAGGATTGTGACTTAAATTGGAGAATAAAATCATCCAAATGAGTTCAAATTTTTGTTTTCAGCTTTCCACTTACCTGTAAAGTCAGGAAATGTCTGGAATTTCATTCTGAATGTTCAGATTTTTTTTTTTTTTTTTTTTTTTTTTTTTTTAGTATAGAAAGTATAGATCAGTCTTCTTTAATAAAAAGCTCATGTTTTAAACAGCAACCCATGTGAAAAATAAGTAAGATATATAAAAATTACTTGTCTTAAAAGAAAGATATGAGTTATTGTGATTTTATTTATTTATTATGATTATTGTTTCACATAATACTTAGCTCAGCTGGCATCTGAAAATAGTGTTCTCAACCCATACCTTTCCTCTGCACCTGTTAGTGAGCTGCTATTCATTTTTCTCTTCATAAACGTAACTGTTTTGTCACCTCTTCTAAAAAAAGAGTTGCCTTTCAGAAATGAATAATGTAGTTTAGAAATCAGTGTACAGTGTAGTTGTATTTGATAATTATGTATTATAATAGATAACTACACTCAAGAGCCAAAACATTATGACCACCTGTCAATAACGAGTTGGGCCACCTTTAGCGCGCAACACAGCTTCAACCCGCCTGGGCATGGATGCCACAAGTCCTTGATAGATGGTCGGAGACAGATTGTACCAGATGTTGTAGCAACAGTCACACAAATCCGAGGTATTGCGAATTGGTGGTCTTTGACCTCTGAGCTGCCGTCCCATGACATCCCAAATGTGTTCTATCGGATTGAGATCCGGTGGGTTAGGGGGCCAGAACATTAACTGAAATCAGCATCATGTTCCTGGAACCACTCCAAGACAATTGTAGCCTTGTGACACAGGGCATTGTCCTGTTGGAACATTCCATTTCCAGCTGGAAAAAAGAGAGGCGTGTAAGGGTCAATGGCCGCAATGATGTTCAGATACCTGTAGCATTCATGGTCTGCTCTACCACAACCACGGGTCCTCCCAGAAACGCCCAAGAGAACGTCTCCCAGCATAACCACCCACCACCACCTGTGTATGACCTACTTGCATTGAGGAAGCAACTGTTCGCCTGGAAAAGGCGCATGACACGGCCATCGACGTGATGAATGACAAACGTTTTATCTGACGGGCAACTCTCTCCCACTGATCCAGGACCAGTTGCGATGTTCCCGCCCAGCGCAGGCACAGATGCATGAGCTTGGTCATCAAAGGCCATGAGTGACATTTGCTGCGTAGCCCCAATCCAATGTGTCCACTGAACGTGTGCTCCGATACTTTTCTACTTGGCTCTGCATACATAGTATTCGTCGTCAGCGGCCACTGTTTTGGCTCCGTTTTGCTTCACCATGCAAGACAATCTCCGACGACCTTTTTCGAGGAGGCGTGTGGACGTCCAACACCATGTCGTCTACTGCTGGTTCACGTATTCAGCCACTTTTCATACGTCTAACAACTGTAGATCGTGAAACAACCCTCGAGTCGTGCAGTTTCGGAAATACTTGTTGTGAATTTCGAGCCATACAATCGCCCTATCAAAGTCGCTTAGATCCCAGCCTTTTCCATCACACACAGAAGTAATTGAAAGAATGATTCTTCAGACTCTCCAGCAGCAGTTAAACTTCCACCACCGATCACGTGCCTTCCACGTCATCAGCCGTTTTCGCAATGTAGGGGCTGGTCATAATGTTTGGCTCTTGATGTATATTAATGTCCCATTTTTGAGATACCAAAGAGTATAATTAATGATTTAATATTTAATTTAATTTCTTTTGCAAAGTCTGATATTCCTTTTTAAAATCACTACCTGCTTCCCTTTTTTTCATATTTTAAATGCATGTCTCCTGTATTTCTTACAATAGTGAGAATTAATATTTTTATAATGTTCTTAGTTATTTCGTTATAATTAAGACACAATAACACGCCGAATAAATACTGATTCAGAAGTCAAACAACAAAAATCAGCGTTAATTCACAAAATTTTCACAGGACTAGTTTCGATGGTTTTACCGAACCATCATCTTCAGCTGCAAAACCGCAAATGAAAAAGATAGGAAATGATGTTTAGATAAGATAAGAAAGCCTGGACAAGAATAAGCAAGTGGCGCCATCTGTTGGCGAAACCAGAACTAAAACATAATTTCTCTAAAAGCCGAAGGCAAATTTGGATTGGAATTAGGATCGTTAACTAGAACAGAAAGATTTTTATGAATGTTAAATGCCTCTAGAAAATCCAGTTCCCAATGGAAGATGTTTTTTGAATAATTTTGGCAGCAGAAAAATTGAAAGTGTGATTTTCGGACCAACAATGTTGAGCAACAGAAGACTTCTGTGTTTCCTTTTTTCTAACATATGCCCTCATGTTCTTTGACCGAAATTTTAAGGCTCTCTTAGTTTGGCCAATGTAAATTAAACCACACTGGCAAGGAATCCTATAAATACCCCAGGAATTCATATCCGGAATGGGGTCCTTGAGTATAGAAGTTGGAATTTTATTGATGGGAGAGTAAACAACCCGAAAGTTAAATTTCTGCAAAATATGTGCAACTTTATAGCTAATTGATGAAAGAAGGGAATGACAACAGAATTTTATAATCTCCTAAAATAAGAGTGGGGCTTTTAGTGTTTGAGATGAGAATTTTTTAACTGCTTGATTAATAATGTTGGGTGAAAAGCCCCTGTCAATAGCTATTGCTTTTAAATAATTTAGTTCTTCATCAAGGGCTAGTTTTGGAGGAGCAAACTTGACGAGCACGGAAAACATAGGAATAAAATGAAGCTAACTTTTGTTTAGTCGGATGACATGATTTAAAGTGTGTGGAAGGCAAACCGATGAAGGTTTAACGGTAAACTGTAGTACTGAAGTTGGATGTGTTTACTGTTGACCAGAATGTCGAGAAACGGAAGAGAATTGCAAGTCTCAGTTCAAAAGTGAACTGAATAGCAGGATCAATAGAATTCATTGTTGAAAGAACTCTATTTAAATCATCTTTATTACCTTCAAACAGGGTAAAAGCAAACTGAGCAAACAAGCAAACAAGCAAACTGAGGGATTAGCCATGGGTAGCCCCCTCAGTCCCATCCTGGCTGATATCTACATGCATTATTATGAATCAAAATTGTTTGAAACTTTAAACTTCCCGGCATGGTTCCGCTACGTAGACGATACTTTTACCCTGTTTGAAGGTAATAAAGATGATTTAAATAGAGTTCTTTCAACAATGAATTCTATTGATCCTGCTATTCAGTTCACTTTTGAACTTGAGACTTGCAATTCTCTTCCGTTTCTCGACATTCTGGTCACACGTAACACATCCAACTTCAGTACTACAGTTTACCGTAAACCTTCATCGGTTTGCCCTTCCACCACACTTTAAATCATGTCATCCGACTAACAAAAGTTAGCTTCATTTTATTCCTATGTTTTCCGTGCTCGTCAAGTTTGCTCCTCCAAACTAGCCCTTGATGAAGAACTAAATTATTTAAAAAGCAATAGCTATTGACAGGGGCTTTTCACCCAACATTATTAATCAAGCAGTTAAAAAATTCTCATCTCAACACACTAAAAGCCCCACTCTTATTTTAGGAGATTATAAAAATTCTGTTGTCATTCCCTTCTTTCCATCAATTAGCTATAAAGTTGCACATATTTTGCAGAAATTTAACTTTCGGGTGTTTACTCTCCCATCAATAAAATTCCAACTTCTATACTCAAGGACCCCATTCCGATATGAATTCCTGGGGTATTTATAGGATTCCTTGCCAGTGCGGTTTAATTTTACATTGGCCAAACTAAGAGAGCCTTAAAATTTCGCATCAAAGAACATGAGGCATATTTAGAAAAAAGGAAACACAGAAGTCTTCTGTTGCTCAACATTGTTGGTCCGAAAATCACACTTTCAATTTTTCTGCTGCCAAAATTATTCAAAAAACATCTTCCATTGGAGAAACTGGATTTTCTAGAGGCATTTCACATTCATAAAAATCTTTCTGTTCTAGTTAACGATCCTAATTCCAATCCAAACTTGCCTTCGGCTTTTAGAGAAATTATGTTTTAGTTCTGGTTTCGCCAACAGATGGCGCCACTTGCTTATTCTTGTCCAGGCTTTCTTATCTTATCTAAACATCATTTCCTATATTTTTCATTTGCGGTTTTGCAGCTGAAGATGATGGTTCGGTAAAACCATCGAAACTAGTCCTGTGAAAATTTTGTGAATTAACGCTGATTTTTGTTGTTTGACTTCTGAATCAGTATTTCGTTATAGTTTGCAAATCAAGGAAAAGTCAGGGAAACTGAAAGTAGAATTTCAGAGGAAACTCTGTATTTGATGCCTAAATGTTTGATTGATTGATATACCTTTTTTAATTAAAAAAAATTAAGATGTTTAAATAATGGTAGACCTTTTTCATTTTGCAATAGCTAGTGATCAAGATCTTGCACAGACTTTGCTGGACTTTGAAGATTAAACTGATAAGTTCAATAGTTTTATTTTTTTATTTTTTTTGTAACTGAGAAGAAAGTTTCAAAACTTCAATGAGACTCTCTCGTTGCCAAAAAAGTGTTTAATAGATTTAGAAAGCAAAGCACATGCTTAATGAAAATTCATATCTTAAATTATTTTCAGCATAAGAATGTAGGATACTATTGCATGCATTGACAAGTTCTCATTGATACACAATCAACAATCTGATGATGCTTTTTTATAGTGAAATGCATTTGGAAATCAGCAGATTAATGAATAAATGCAGTTAAAAACAAGTATGAAACAAATGAGCATTGTCCTGGAAATTTTCCATGAAGAAAGGGTCGTTAAAAAAACGACGCTGTTGGAAATATGTACTTGCTCTAAGCTATTCTGATCCTCTCTTATCTACTCTCCCCTCTAAAAAGAACATTAACAAGTATATAAAAAAAAGAGTAGAAAACTTACTTTTCTAGAAGAATCCGGAAGATTTTAAAGCTGTATTTTTGGCGTTGTATTGGTGATTATTGTCTAATATACAAGTAGTTGTATTCATAATGTAAGTTTTTTCCACAATTATTCAAATATATCTTTATGTATTGTTTTAATAGTTATACTTTTTTATTTTTTTAGATATTCCTTTCCCACGAAATTTCATTCCAACCTGTAAGAAGATATTAACAAGACTATTTAGAGTTTTTGTCCATGTTTATATACATCACTTTGACAGAATTGTCTCAATTGGTGCAGTAAGTTTTATTTTTATCTAATTCATCTGTTTATTCATTTTTGTATTAGAAGAAATGGATAATCATGTAGCATGTGATCTACTTACTGCGTTTATTTATTTTTCATTTCTTTTTGCCATCATTTTATTGCATTGAATGTCATTTTTATAAAAGATATTGAGTATTTTATTTTATGAAGCTGTTATATTGAATTGTGAAACTACTGGAATTTATTACTTTATTTAAATTGGCGAAGTGAAGAATAAAGAGCATACCAAATTTGGCAATTTTCATGTTAGTGACTTTATCCCATTAACTGTATATTTTGTTGTTTTGTGATGATTTTATTTTGGCAATATTATTTTTTATAACTGAAAACTGAAATTAATGAGATAGCTGATATTAGAAAGTCAGTTAATGTGTCATACTATATAATGCTTAATGTGTGCAATGCCAAACTTGTGCAGGTCTGTAGGGTTTTTTAAGTGAAAAAGGATCACTGTGTACATGTGGGGACAACAATAATGCATATAATACAATACATAGAATGTTTAATATGCGCAATGCCAAATTTATGCTATTCCTTCATGTTTTGAGAAAACAGATCGCTGTAATGGAAAGAATAGTGCATCATACACTATGTATAATGTTTAATGTATCATTTTTGTATTTTTAATTTTGCATTATTGCATTAATTGAAATTGTATTTTTAATTATAATTTTTGTGTTTTAAATTGTTTTATTTTAATATGTTGGTAATGTTTGCCGAGTTAAGGGATCTCGCCAAAATTGCTATCACCCCTTATAAGTAACTTTAAAGTTAGTTGAATTTAAAAAAATAATGGAATAATTTTCATTTATGTATTTGTATTTATTTCTATATTTAAAACAAATGTTTCAATGATGCCATCAATGAAATAACTAACTAAATAAAGCAGTAGATTGCGTACTACATGAATACAAAGAAATGCCATTTTTTATTATTAATGCATGTGACATATTCAATATATGTCACTAATTCAGCAGTTCTTCTTGGTGTGTTTGAAATTCATTCTCATTACAGATGTCATATGTTGCTTGTCCAGCAACTAATATGTGGATTTGGAGCTATGGGAAATACAATGTTTCATTTCCCTGTTACAGCGTGTTACAACAGTCCTTACCTTCTTAATATCAGGACAAAAATGTCAATGCATTGACTCATTTCATCGTTTTGTGCTCCTCTATGTATCGTTAAAAATCTTCAGCAGCACAACTTCCTTTTCATAACTTTTCTGGGTACTATTCGATTTTGAGGATCGTAAAAAATCGCCAAACTATTGTTGATGCCAATGCTACCAAAAATAATTGCGGCAAACCTAAGGCAAGAAAGGAGTATAAGAGGTATCTAAGATCTAAGCTTTGTTTTAATTTAGATGAAAGGTTAATTTCATATAATACTCTTTTATTATTATTATTTATATAAAAAAGGCTAAAGATGACTGAAGGAAGCATAAGAGTAACTATTCAGACCATTATTATAATTTATATAAAAATTCTTAAACATGACTGAATGGATGCCTGCATCGCTATTTCACTACCGAGTTATTGCTAAAGCATAATTTCATCTTGTTGGTTGTTCAAACATAATTTTCTATAATGAATGATGCCTTTTCTTTGCAAAAATTCTCGGTAAAGTACAGAATCACCCACTTATTTGTTTGCCGCTTTTACAAGGGTAAAAACAATAGCATTTTTGTCAATTTTCTTTTACTTTTTAAGTGAAATTAGGTCGATGTGTACATAGATAAAGTCAAGGGCGTGCGCAGTGCCGTTTTTGTGCAATTCTGGGATTAAGTGAAAATAGATCGATGTGTACATGGATACTGAGTGTGTGCAATTCTTAAAAGCGCGTCAAGCAGTGGGTGATTCTGCACTTTACCCTAAATTCTATTGCAGACTTTTCGCCCCAAATTGTGAACTTTATAGAATAATGATTTGAAGTGTGGTGGAAGATTTTCTTTCACCACACTTTAAATCATGTCATCCGACTAAACAAAAGTTAGCTTCATTTTATTCCTATGTTTTCCGTGCTCTTCAAGTTTGCTCCTCCAAACTATCCCTTGATGAAGAACCAAAATTATTTAAAAGCAATAGCTATTGATAGGGGCTTTTCACCCAACATTATTAATCAAGCAGTTAAAAAATTCTCATTTCAACACACTAAAAGACATACTCTTGTTTTAGGAGATTATAAAAATTCTGTTCTCATTTCCTTCTTTTCATCAATTAGCTGTAAAGTTGCACATATTTTGCAGAAATTTAACTTTTGGGTCATTTATTCTCCCATCAATAAAATTCCGAGTTCCATACTCAAGGACCCCATTCCGGATATGAATTCCTTGGGTATTTATAGGATTCCTTGCCAGTGTGGTTTTAATTTACGTTGGCCAAACTAAGAGAGCCTTAAAATTTCACGTCAAGGAACATGAGGCATGTGTTAGAAAAAAGGAAACACAGAAGTCTTCTGTTGCTCAACATTGTTTGGTCCGAAATCACACTTTCAATTTTTCTGCTGCCAAAATTATTCAAAAAACATCTTCCATAGGAGAACTGGATTTTCTAGAGGCATTTCACATTCAAAAAAATCTTTCTGTTGTAGTTAACAATCCTAATTCCAATCCATCTTTGCCTTTGGCCTTTAAAGAAATTATGTTTTAATTCTAGTTTCATCAACAGATGGTGCCACTTGCTTGTTCTTGTCCAAGCTTTCTTATCTTATCTAATCATGATATAAATATGTTCTGTCTATACAGCTATGTTTCAGAATGATTCACTCATTAAAGCTGGTTTATATTACAAAAAAGGAACTTTTTTAATTACTTAAACAGAAGCGTATTTAATCTTCTTCTGTTTCAAGCATTTCTTCAATGAACCTCATATATGTTTATAATGAAATTATTATTTCAATCAAATTAGTGTATTTCCTGTCATTCATTTCAATCAAAAACATTATAATAGCTTATTATAAAAACATTATTGATTCTACAGCTGCCGCGAGAATAATTCTGAAACAATTTGCTGAGCCCCTATGCTTCCGCCACTTAAATTTAGTGAAATACAGTCAAAAGTCGTTAATTCGGACACCCATAATCCGGACCTCAAAGCTAAAATCTTTCTGCGTATGCGCCGCGTTGACGCATGCTCATAGGCGTTTCACGCGTGCGCGTAAGACATTTACGACTGCGCATATGCATCTGCGCAAGCACAGAATACGCTTTCGCGTGCACGTTTAATGTATAACGGACGGTATAAGCTAATAATTATCTAATTATCTATTTTAGTTAATGTTTATGATTGCGTTGTTCCTTAATCTTCGAATTGGATCAGGCTTATTATTTTTTGCAGACTGTAAGAGCAATTTTATAAAAGTAAACTTGAACTTTCGATTATGTCAAATAGAATTTCCGATGCTGGAGCTCCCAAAGGATCTAGAAAACGAAAGTATGTTTCGATGTCCATCAAACAAAAAATGGATAAAGGTATATCCTTTGTTTATCTAACCGTTCCAAAATCTGTTTATCAATTTCACGCTGCTCTGCGCCGGGGGGGGGGACGTCGCGGCGCGGCGCACAATGAACTGGAAGTTGATCTGTCAGCACTACTGTTATCTTCAGGGCAGATGTTTTTATTTTATTCGGCTTATAATTCCTTACTAAATGTAGTATTTAATCTCGATGTACTCCATCTTTAATATGATTTAAATCAAATTCCTCGTCATTATAAATATCACGAATACAAATCAAATAGTTTTCTGGTTGCAATTTTCTAATTTCGGCTATGCGTAAGGTACGCATGCGCGCGTTGAAAGAAATGTTTAATAAAGTAAACAAATAAATATTAAGCTTCTTTTTTTGTAAATTTTGATATCCTTTAGATCATAATTGCTCATTATTTTATAAATTACGGTTTCATATTTTTAATTTTATAATTTCTGCATGCCATCTTACCAGATTTAAACTGATGATCTATAATCCGGAATCGCCGAAGTCCCGACGAGTCTGGATTAAAGACTTTTGACTGTAGAACTTCAAATAATATACTTGCAAAAGTATATTGCTATTTGTGCTAGGAACTTCAACCACAGAGCTCTCTTCTGTTTTGTGAATATCCACTGGTTAGATAAGATTGTTCTGGACATTTATTTTTATTGTGACCTCCAATTTAATCATTAGCTTACTTACCCAGATTGAGCAAACTTTTTTTTAATAAAGTTATTCTAATCAAATATTTTATTACCATAAATATTTAATTATTTTTCATACTCCTAGACTGATGCCATTGCTTTTGACCATCCGTAGATAAAATACAATGCAGTCCAAATAATAATAAGGTACTTTTCCATTTCGGCTGCGCAAATCTCGCCAAGCAGACTTTATTGGCGACAACATACAGTATACACATAAAAAATATTTAAAAAATGTTAGTTCTAAGAATTCTTTTTAAAAAAGAAGGCATAAACATTTTAATATTCCTTAAAATTTTATAAAAAGCAAATAAATAAAGACAACAAATTTGTTAAAAACATTAAAATTTACTATGCTTTCATGGTTCACATCCTGATTCGCCGGTTCATATCACGTGACCCCAAGCGATCTCATCTCACGTAAACTACTCTACAAAAATCTAATGCTCTTAGTAATTATCCACATTAATTTCAAGTTAAATCTTAATTTGGAACACAAGTTTAAATGCAAAAAATATTTCAATTCATATGAATAGCTTACTCAGAAATTATGTAAAACTGCAGTGCTTTACTTTGCTAATGCATTCTCATTAGAATTGATGAATTTATCCCTTGACTTTACCTTTTCTATATTTTCGGCTTCGGGTAATGGCTGTGATTGCATCCTAATTAACTTAATTACCGAAAATTGCCTTAAACATAAAACTGAACTATATGATAAAAATTCTATGTATGCCAGTATTGAAAGAAACAATCAATCTGATAAGAAAAAGCTGCGACTTGTTTTGAAAATGAGGCGTAAAAGGTTACTAGCGAGAATATTCCGTTTGGCATCGGTTGTACCATTATTGGCGACTTTATCGCTTGCGCCGGCAAAACGGAAAAGTACCAATAATAATAATAATAAATTTTGGTTCCATGAAGCCAATTTCTGTCATGGATTTCTTCCTTTCTAAGCATTATTTAACTGAATTTTAACATGTCAGTTTGCTGTAGTTTCATTTCATGATCGTCGTATGTGGTAGTTTCCTTTACTTGGAAGAACAGTGCAATGTTTTTTTTCTGTCATTAACAACCCAAATATGATTAACATGTTTATAGGTCAAAAATGAATTTAAAAAACTAAATGAAATGTCACTGTAATGGAAAACTTACTGTGAGAGCGGTAACACATAAAAGCAAAAAGCATGTAAAAAAAAACATGAAAAAAGTGAGGTTTGGCACATTAGAAAATATTCTGTTGCTCATGTGCACATAATTTTAATATTTAAGGTGGTGAAGGATTGAGTGCGTTATAACTATAATCAACACTCTGTGATTAAGTATACCTTAAATTTTCATTAATAAAAAAAATTCCAGTTACTACAGCCCTGTATATTGTATAAAATACTCGATGCATTTTGTAATTATGTTTAGAATTGAAAAACTGTGAAACAATGCTAAAATAGCTATTAAGGTAAACTTTGCTAACTAATTTTCACATTGCAGATATATATTGTTATGAAATGTCAAGGCGTGGTGGTGGAATAACTTTCTCACAAAGCAGGTTTAGGGTTGCCATAAAATAGCAAGGAAAGGTAAGGTTGCCACATTTGGCGACATTTGGCTACGAAATTGGCACTGCACCATGGATGGATAGAGAATCTTCTGGAACAAATTCTTACCGGTTTAGCCCAGAATGTTCTCGAACACAAGTTGAAAGCTATGTAAACCCTGTTGGTTCGCAGTCAGTTAGAGTGTGTGCCTCGTCTAGCGAGCTGATAGTCATTCATTGAGCGAGTGTCTCAAAGTCTAGTGCCAAGTTGGTCGTCGAGTGCATCGAGAGAGTCTTTTAGTGTATCGCGTGTTAGTGTATTGTCGAGTTTTGTCTTGGACTGTGCTGAGTCGAGAGCTATACTCTTGTATATCGTCGAGTGCATTGCGAGTTGTAGCGTGGAGAGTCGAGAGAGTACGTGGAGTTCTGAGAACAACCAAGCAGAGTCGGGAGCTGTACTCTGGTGCTTTGCAGTGAAGCTGTCTCGACCGTTATAGCCTGATAGTGTGAAGGCTCTGTCGCTGATTGTGTCAGCTTGTTTATAGTATAGTAGTTCTTCTACAACTGTAAAACGTGATTTTGGAGCTGTCCTGATTAATATTGGCTAAATAAAGTGTGTTTTCGATACTTCATCAAGTGTCGTCATTATTCACTCCAAATCTACGAACCTCGTTCGAACGTGAAGGAAGAAAATAACGCAACAACTGGTCTCAGAAGAAAAACGTAACAATATTAATGCATATAAAATTTTTATCCAATTTAATCAGTTTTGCAAGCATTTCCACTTTTGTTTTACTAACCATGGCAATTAGATACTGAAAAACTCATAGCTTATTCTTTAGTTTGTTATTGAATTGAATGAAAAATACATGATTATGGGCAAAGCTTTTTATCATATGCCATATTTTCTGCTTCATTAGTTGATATGGAACTACTCTGATATGCGCCCTCAAGTCGCCAAATTTCTCGCCAAATATTTTTGGCGAGAAACTTTACGCTGCCATATTACTATCTAAATTTTTTTGTCTACATTTGAACTTTAGCCTAAAAATGTCTCCAAAACGCGGTTTTCGCACATGCAAAAAACTACGTTTTGAACACACAATTTAGCTAAAATCCGAAACAAAAACAAAAAATTTGATAGCAAAAAACGTAAAGTTTCTAACCAAAATATTTGACAAGAATCCATGTACACAGCGACATGTTTTAACTTAAAAAACATCTACGAATTGCACAATGTAGGCAACGAAGAATCTACAAACTACGCACACTCGCTTTAATAATTAACATAACAACAATAATTTCAAAGAATACCTGTACACAGCATCCTGTTTAACTTTAAAAAAATTCTCTACGAATTGCACAATTTAGGCAAGGAAGGAATCTACGATCTACGCACCTCGCTTTAATAAAATACATAACAACAATAAATTTTAAATAATACCATGTACATAGCGTTCTGTTCAACTTTAAAAAACATCTACGAATTATCAGTCTAGACACTAAACAAAAAAATAACTAAAATAAATTTCAAACAATTTAAAAAGACAACAATAACCAGAAATTCATACCTAAAGAACCAATGAACATAACATTCTACAAAATAAGAACAAGGATAAAATAAAAAATGCACTTACATGAATTAATGCGTTTTCGAATAGCAGAATATAAATTTCATACCGCCTTTAACATGCCGCCACGTAATTACTATCATATTTACATCCAGCCAGATACACTATCCAGAAAATTTTACTATAGTTCACAAATAAATAAAATACAAATCCCTACTTCTATATGCACTGCCATTAAAATAATCTCCCACCCCTCTTTCCACACTCCAATACCCATACCCGTCAACAGGATAGCCACATTCATATTTCCTTTTGCCGAACTTCAATTCAACAACTACCATTTTATCTTTCCCTCCCATCTTCTCAGACACAGAGGCGAACCAACGAGCTCCAGCGAAAGATTTTTCAACAACAACAGGGTTGCCATAGAACACGCAATCGTGCCAAAAACCAGCGCAGAACACATATCGCCACATTTGGTGAAATTAGGGCGTATATTAGAGTTGTACCGTTGATATATAAATCTCTTCCCCAAAAATCTAGCAAAAAGTGTAAATGGCTTATATACTCAGTAATTAAAAGTTATGTTGTCTAAACATTTAAAAAATAAGTTATTGTGGGTAAAACTTTTGTACTATTGGTACTTTCTGATTATTCACCCAACCGTGAAAATAATTCACCAGGTAATGCACTATGTTGGCAAACAGGCAACCCATAAACCATTGGTATAATGTATTTATGTTGCAACCCAGGTATGCATCCATGCGTAACAAATGAGCGATGTTTTCAGCCTTCAGATTCAGTCGTCATTGTTGTTTGTTTTGGTTGTATTGAGTACATTTTTTTTTCCTCTTGTAAAGAATTGTAATGGGACTGTGGAGTTTGGCAGTTAATGAGAGAAAGAATGGCATTGCTTTAGAAATATGGTGTTTTGGCCAACAGTTAGAGAATGCAAGATATCACATTCCATGAACCTGTACTTCGTAAATGATCAAATTTTATGGTTTAAAATTTGTCTGATTCTCAGACTTTTTCAAACAAAAATAAATTGTTATATGCATGGGAAGAACAAAAGTGTGCACAATGCTGAATTTGTGTAAATCTTTAATATTTCTCTTAAGCAACAACAGATTGCGTTATATGTGAGGAGAATGATAGTATGTTATAGTGTCAGGTTGTCTGCAATGCCAAGTTTCTATAATTAATTTATGCTTCTTTGAGCTAAAACAGATTGTTGTGTACATGGGGAAAAATAATACAAAAGAAAAGTAAGAGATTTATTATGGATGTTTAATGCATTTTTAATCTTGCTAATTGGTTTCTGTTTTATATAATTCTTAGTGTGCTGCCATTTTTTAAAATAGCTGTTGTCTTTCGTGTCTTATCCTGGCGAAAAATTAGTTCCCACCAGTTGGGGACTCTTCAGGGTTGGGCGGATAATCAGAAAGTACTGTATTTCTTTATTTATCTTTAAATAATGAATATAACCTGAAGTCTGTTATATCAGTGAAAATATTTTGAAACTGAATGCTCATTAGTTTACTTTTGCCACTGCTATTGCACTATCATATGGATTTCATTCAATATTTGAATTATCTGTATCTTCATTTTCAGTTTTCTGAAAAATAATCACCTTTTTCATCCATAGGATTGAGATATAGCATTTTAAAATGCTTTTACAGTAATCTCAGCTTTTCTGTTTTCAGAGGTCAACATTTCATGAACAACACTATGTTCACATAAAGGTCTGAAAATGTGGTTTGTGTGAATAGCAAATGGTTTAGTTTGTGAAATATGTTAAATTTGTTGACTTTTTGTATGTGTAATTTTTTTTCCTTTTCTTTGTAGGAGGCTCATGTTAATACATGCTACAAACAGTTTTATTATTTCATCAGACACTTTGATTTAATAAGCGAAAGGGAGTTAGAGCCACTGGTATGACTCTACATTTTTGTCCAAATATTACAAAAACCATAAAATGTATATTTCTATTTAAAACCACTGTATATTCTATACTGCTTATTTGAACTGTAGTGTGATGTATTTATTTTTATAATTAACATAAATATTAATCAATTTTTTTAATTATTGAGATATATATCCTATCGAAGAAATTTTAATTTAATCTGATTTCAAGACCTAATAGTTATTTTAAACATTGATATATAATAATGTTTAAAATAACTATTAGGCATGAATTCCAGTTATTTGGCTTCATATATCTGAGCTTCAGTTATAAAGTTTATTCTTTGTATCCAAGAAAAAATAAGCTTATTGGCATGTTTTTATTGTTTTCATTGATTTAAATAATAGGAAATTTGATAAAATAATGTTACGAATTTTGTACTTAGATAGCTAATATTAAGAGGCAAAATAGAATTCATTTATTCTAATTTTAAAAATGCCATATACACAGATAAATAACATACCATATGTATATTGAGGAGCCAAACTATTAGAGACATTTCTTAATAACACCTTAGTGTACCTATAGCTTTGAATACAGCTGATATTCTTTTAGACATACACTCAATAAGATATTGATTTTTTGTTCCAAGCCCATGCTAACTTAATCACAATTCTAATTTTGTTCAGATTCGCTTAAGCCTTGAAGTAATCTTTCCACTTTGTCCTACAAATGCTGAATGAGATTAAGATCAGAGGACTAAGCTGGCCATAGAAGCAATTTGAATTCCAGATGGTGTTCTTCAAACAGTTTTAAATCAGTCATGCATCAGAGGACTGAGCTGGCCAAACTCCAAATGATGCTCTTCAAACCAATTTGAGGTCCATCATGTACAGTGATAAGGCACATTGTATTATTGAAAATGGCCACCCACATATCAGGCAACATTGCAACTGTAAACAAATGTATATGATTGACAATGATATTTAGGTAAGCTGTAGTGTTTAAAGCTGTTTCCAGAAGTATCAAGGTACTCACTTCATTCAAGGAAAATAATACCCAGACTGTAATTTCAAAATAACCAGCTTCAGGAGTTGTCATAAGGCAAGAGTAGTTACTCAATTCATTTTGTTTGCACCATATTCTGACCACATTATATGCATGATGGACCAGAAAAAGAAATTTACTAGATTGATATTTTTTTTTAAAGATCATACATATATAGAACAGAAAGTTATAAAACAGAAACGCGTTAAGAATTATAAGATATTATAGTTGTGCTTATAAATTTTCCTGCATGTAACAGTAAGCGTTCTGCCACCAAATTCTGAGAGAGGTCTTGTATCATCAGATTTTGCAGATGGACATGATTATATTAAATCGATCTGGTAGGACTGTTAAAAAAATGTTATTTAAAAGAGTATGTATGATTTTTTTAAATTTTTATTTCTGTTAAAAAAGGGAAATGTCTCATATGTAACTGTAACAGCAATATAGAACAATACTACAGAATAAACAATGTTTAGATAATCATGGTGTAATCATTATTTTCACTTATCATTAATCTATAAATAATGTTATACATCAGTGAGCAAGCTGCAGGCCTTTAGCAGCCAGTGCTGTGATTGACAGTGATGTGTTTCAATGTACAACCAACTGCCGATTTACTGGAAGGGCTCTAGGGAAAACATCTACAGTAAACTTATTATCACAGTTTATGCAAAGGCAGTTAAAAAAACAGAGAGAAAAAAACCTGTATTAGAATTAACAAAAATACTAATAGCAATTTTACTGTATTTTCAAGCAGACTACTGAAAATAAGTTCATTTAGTTTCATCTATTAAATCAGCATTCAAAACAAAAAGAACATAATATTTGATTATTATTATATTCTGAATTATATATAATTAAGCTACATAATATTGAAAATAAAAATAAAACTTAAATATTATGACATCACCTGTTGTCACTGTTATTACAGCATACTTTTTTTTTTCCTTTTGCATTTTTCATAGACAATATAAATTTACATGTGATGAAATTTTTTAAGTAGTTTTTACATCAATCTGCAATGAATAACACTTTTTTAAGCAGTGTCTCTTTAGTCTGCAACGCCATGAATCAGAAAATGCTTATTTTTATTTTCAGAATTTGTATAAATTTTTGCTTTTAAAATCTATCTAAATTTATTACATAGCTGCATGCTAGTGACTAATGATCTTAATGGCATCTTTGATATAATTTAATTTTTTAAAAAATCTATCTTAATTAGACAACTGCATGACAGTGATTAATCAGGGTTTGTAGCAGTCCTTACAAGTGCTTATAAGTCCTTATATTTGAAAATAAAATATAAAAGCTTATAGGTGCTTACTTTTTCTCTAAAACATTTATTATTATTTGTTTTGTTTTTAGTGCTTATTTTTTTGTTTTTAGTTTTTTTTTTTTTTAAACGGCAGAACGCACATTTTTCCCAGTACCAAAGCCGGAAACTAAACAAACAACTTTCTTCCTTATATTTTCTTCTTATATGTGGAACGTAGGTAAATCATACTCCCAGAAATAGCTTTTCATCCCCTTTCTCTACATTAGCATAACCTTTGGTGCGCGAGTACAGGCAGGTGCACATTGTTCTATTGGTCAAAGAATTGTGAAATCAGTAGAAAATTTTGATACATTCCGTATTCTTTTGCTACCACCCAATACTACACACGTTTGAATTTCTATCAAGATTTTAATAATTTACATTCTCGTTCCGTGTGGTCAGTTCATATTCGTGTTTATTATGATCGGTATGCTTATATTATGAGTATATGTATGAATATTTATAATAATATATTTGCAGTAACTGCTGAAGTATAGATAAACTTCAAAAATGAGTAACACAGATTAGTTTTCTAAGGAATAAATAATATTCGGAATGGCATACATAAAGTGAAAATAATCAAATCGTCAAAATAATGTCTTCTTCTCCCCCCCCCAATGCATTATACAATACGGAAGTTGGGGGTTCTCTCCTTTCTCTTAAAAATCTTGAATATTTAATCCATTATAGTTCGCAGCAAAGCACTTTTTTTTTTTTTTTTTTTTTTTTTTTTTTTTGATCACTTTCCAACCTGGATTGAATAGGACTTAATGTTTTGTGGTCTACCAACCCAAGCAAAGAAAGATTCTGTTCCGGAAATTTAACGCAGTCTGTTCAAAATTAGAATGAAAAACACCCCAGATTGGTAAATCTCTTTATTAATCAATACGAGTATGGCAGGGATATCACACGGAATGCGACGTGTCCTGCTCATTGATAAGTATGCCACATGGGTGCATGACGGTAAAAATCAGAGGAAGCAAAGGGGCATTTTCCTTTATTTAGTTATTTATTCTCCGAAAACCGGCAGCTGTTGATTCCAATTGCATAATATGACGTGCGGAGAAATTCAGTCACACGTATTGCGCAATAACATTTGCAATACTTCACAGAGATAAAAGAGTTTTACTGTGCTTGCTAAGCAGATTATTTTTCAGTTCCATTGGGCTATTTTTTTATATGATGCACATATTGAAATATCAAAAGCATTATTTAGCTGAAAAATCTAAAGAACGGCTACAATCTATACCCCTTCCTCTTTTACGCTTGACTATCTGAAATTTTCAGATATTCGGCAATATCCGAGTATGCCGGTCTGATTTCAGAAAAGTTCCTTTTTTTACTTATTTTTACTTAAATTACTTTGCTTGTAATATCTGTTAAAGGAAAACTGTTATACAGTGAAAATTTAGAAAACGTTCAGAACTTTTATATAAGTTAAATTATTTAAATATTAATATGAGTGGAAAAATAAATTGTATTTATTTTTAGGTGCCAAGCAAATATAATAAATATGATTTATTATTATTTATTTTCTCTATTTTAAACTGAAATTTCATCATTAAATCTTGTAATATAATTTAGTTCTGCATAGTTTTTTTTTTTCTCTCATTGTAAACTAGTTCTGTAACTTGAACTGTTATTTAAAATTTTGTAAAAAAGAATGTAATTGTTTTCCATGTTTGAGTAATGCTCATATAAGTCTAATTTTTTTTAAGGTTATGCAGTTGTGTAAAATGTAATTAAACAAGTACTTATCTTATTTTTTTTCCCTCCTTAAAAAGTTTTTTTTTTTTTTTTTTTTTTTTTAACTAAAATGTTACTATGAACCATGTTAATGGGTTGTGCAGCCACTTTTGATTTAATTTAAGTTTAAAAAGCTATCTAAATTTATTGCAAACCCCCATTCTAGAAGCCATTTGTCTAAAAAATGCGTGCTTTTTACCTATGGTATTCACAATCACCCCTGATTCATACAATTTTATTTTAGCTATCTATTTACAATCATTGGAATTGTTGTTTGGTCAGAGAATGTTAGGAAAATTAAAAGATAAATTTATGTGACAACTTCTGAAAAGAACACTCCCTGTATTGATTACAGTTTTTAATGAATTAGGGAATCATTTTAATATAATGGAAAGATGTTCAAGAAATTGTATTTGGTGAAAAGCAAATTCAAAACATTTGAAGAGTTCTAATTTATATAATATAGCAGTTATTGTATACCTATTATCAAGTGATTATTGATGTTTTCTTTCCTTTTACAGAGTGATATGACAAGGCGGATATGTAAAGAAAGTTCAAGATCATATAGATGAGAATATATGTTATTGTAATTTTTATTTTACATATTGTAATTTTATATTTGTTGCATTTCATTACAGAAAGTATCATGAAAGTTGTAGGCATAGTTTTTTTTTTTTTTTTTTTTTTTTTTTTTTTTTTTTTTAAGCTTTTAGTCTTTTTTAAAACATTTTTTTTTATATAAATTCTACTGTTATGGAAATGTTGTTCTAAACATGTTATAAAATGATGAGAATGATTAGCTATGTTATATATTGATAAGGATTGTTGTAAGCTCTGCTGTAAATGTTAGTATTATATACAATTTTATTGTGTTCTATTTGAAAGACCTGCCAAGATGATGAGATATACATAAATACCATATATATAATAAATTATATTGCTGAAGTGTTTGCAGTAGCTCATAACTACTATTGCTCTTTTAAGACGTAATGAACTTATTTTACTAAACATATTTATTGAGTATTCTTTTGCATTCCTATTTAAAGATGCTGTTTTGGAAAGTAATCTCTGTAGGGATGTATATGTAAAACTACCTTTGTACAGATTTTTCTGGGAAAACTGAAATCTTGAGTTGGTAACAAGGGAGTAAAAAACTCAGAAATTTTATTTTAATGAGTACGAATTTTTGATTCTAGCACTTTTTGTTAGCTATTGTGTTATGAATCCAATTGCATATTTTCCCCTAAATTGATTCCTTATGCTAATTAGCATAGAAAAGAAATTCGAAGTACTGCTTAGATTACTGTGAAAAGTTTATTTATTTATTTATCTAATTATTCTCTTGTTTGAGAAAGCAAATTATTTTGAAAGTAATTTTGCTGGTAGATATACATCCCTTTCCCATAAAAGAATGATGTATTCTTGTTAAAGTTTAATTATGTTTCCCCATTGTAATAGCATTGTCATTAATTTATATTTAAATGTTTAGAAAAATATAATAGTTTTGTATTTTAAAAATCAGTAGTAATCATTTCTTAAATTATTGTTTGGTTAGTTATTTATGCACAAATAATCAAGTTTAATATAAAAATTAGAAAGGGGAAAATGTCAGCTAAATTCAGAAAGACATAATCCATAATGTGCAAAATTCTGTATTCTCCACAACCTTTTGGTTCTAAGGTAGATATGTTATCAGAATTCTATTTTTTATTTGAAATTTTAGTATTTAATTTGATACTTATGATGAATTACTAAAGCATTTAATGTAGTCTGTAGAAATAACTAGCGTATAAAATAAATTTTTATAGTCATGATAAGTGTTTTTACAAGTTTATAAATTTATTTTTAGATTTTTAATTTCTTGAAAATTTAATATGAACTGTGATTACTCCTGTGAAAGACATGTGATCTGTTCTGTTTTGCAAAATTTTTTGTTTCACATAATATTTGATAATATTTGAATCTTTTAAGAGTATATTCTATGTTATGAATCTCATTGTAGTATATGTATGTGTGTGTATAAAATATATTTATAAATATGTTAACATGTGTCTCTGAATGAGCTGCAGAGACAGGGATGCAAAATTTTATTTTAGCTAGAGGATGCATGTATGCAAAAATCAAAGAAAGTGAATTCATAAAGATCAAAATTTTACATGCTTTTTCAATCAAAAACCAGAATTTTATATTTATACATCATTTATGTAATAAGAAACTACTTGCAATGTATTATTCAGTATTGGAGGAAAATGTTCAATCTCAGCCATGTGTTGCTTAAAATATAAGCTTGTAAACATACGTACTTTAAAAATGGAATGTCATGCTGTATTGCCAAAAATATTAATTGTTTCTAAACACCAGTATGACATACATGGTGCATCTACAAAGATTTAAGGATATAATTCGCTTAAAATATGCAGTAAAATTATTACATGAAATGCATCAAGTAAACAAACAAAAAGGGTACGCAACTTTATTAAAAAACATAAAAACTGAAATAACCATAAATATTTGCAATCATATTGTTTTGTATAATCCATGCTCTTATTTTTATGGTTATTCTAAATTTAAACCAAAAATCAAATTTTAAATTTTAATATTATCTTCAATATTCAAGTATGAAAACATCTTCCTTGATAATTTAAATCTAAAATGAATGTGATTATATGTTCCTTTAATTATAAATTCAAGTACTATTCTAAGTTTGCTTGTTTTATTTATTTATTTATTTATTCAAGCTTTTATAATTCATTTGAAATATGGAACATTTTCCTCCTTTTTTATAATTCGGTGAAAAAAGAACTTTATATTGGTGTAGATTTTTAATGAAAGTCATTTGATTCCAAGAGTGTTTATTTTTTGCTTCTAAGATCAGGTAATTCTTGAAATGTGTAGAGATTATTCAAAATGTATGCCAATCTAAGGTTGCATTTTTTTAAATTAAAATTTTACATTTGCTTATTATGTCTGTGCCTTTTCTCCTCTTTTTTCATTTATATTTACTTATTCTCTTAATTTTTTGTCATTAATCATCCTTATTGTCAAAGAAGCATGTTTCTATTTCTAGGAAGGGATAATATATGTTCATTTACTTTATTTGTAAATAATTGTGTGAAAATTTGTGTCCATAATATATGTTTTGCGTCCATAATATATGAGCATCTACCCTCCAATTTTTAAGAAATAAAATATTGATTTTAATTTTTAAATCAATCTTAATGTTGATTCATACTAGTTTAAGCAGTTTAGCATTGTGGAAAGTTTTTAATCTGTTTTGCAATCAAATTCACATATTGTATATATCTGGTTTTTAACCAATACACACATTAGAAATGACACAAAATTATAACTAAAATTGAAAACTTACATATAGGATACAATTAAAATCTCCCTGTAAATCCAATTATATATTTGAATGAAGGGGGAAAAAGTATTAATTGATGTAAGTAGAAGTACTTTCAGTGATTCAACACCATCTCGAGGAGTTAAATAATTCACTGAAAGTTGCATGAGCACTGAAAGTGCTGTGGACAGAATTGAAGATTATTATCTGTGAGGCAGATGATGATGATTTTAATGATCAAATGGATTGAGATGATGAAGATGATCTTAATGATTATAATGGATCAAAATATTTTTTACTTTTCTGTATCAGGATGAGAGAAAATTCCATATTAGATACTGATATTCAATGATTAACTTCTATGAGAATTTGTTGAGGTACAAAATATTTTTCAGTTATTCATTTTTGTGATCAAACTTATAAAAAGACTTAAACATTTGAAATTATGTAAATAAACTGACCTCCAAACCTGAGTATTAAAATGTTTGCTAAAAATTCTAGGTTCATACATGAAAATATATGGTATATTTAGGTTTGATTTATGTATATATATAAAAAAATCATTATTTACAGAATTATTGTCTTTAGTTCTCGGCATTGATTCTATATTTGGTCGCTGGGTATCTAATTGTTATGTTATATGAGTTCAGATGATGCTCAGAAATGTTCTCAAAAGTTTTAGAATATATATTAATATCTGCTTTGATCTGAAATATATATATATTTTTATGAATATTAGTTATGCACTAATTCTTGTGATAGTAATAATTTCAGTTAAAAATCAAGTGCTTTTATTAAGTTCTTATATAGAGTGAAAGAAATATATATTTTCAAAATTTTATAGAAACCAGAGTTTTCATATCACTGCTGAAATGCTTCCACGATCAGGAGAATATGTTCTAAAGTTGTGTTACAAATGTTCTGTATGTGATCTTTTTGCTATATGACTGATATATATGTGATAGCCAAGTTCTTCAAAATATTCTCAGCATGTCCATGCCATCAATTGCAGCAGCTGTTGTGATATGTTGCGGAAAATCATCTAAACTTGTAGAAAAGGGAGCAGCATAACTTTCCTTGATGTATCCCTGCAAGTAAGCATCACACTGTGTTAATCTGGCTTTTTGGTACCAACATCCCAGAGCCATGTCCTGATGTCTGAACAGCCAATAATGGATTGAGATAAATGGATTACAACACTGAGGCAAATTTTCATCCATATCCATGTTGTAAAATGACGCTTTAAAGCAGTAATAATTCCCCCCCCCTCTCCATATCAAGCATGCAAAATACTTGTCTTACTTGATTAGTGGCCATATTGCTTGACTGACATCATCAAAATAAATGAAAAGTGGACTTCCTCTTTCAAAGGTACTAAATGTTCCTGATAAAAACAAATGCTCTGAAATTAATAAACATTTAGTCTGTCAATTTTTTAGGTCAACCTTGTACAAGTCTGTTTATTTTTAATAATGCTTATTTTCCTGTCTTTGTAATTATCACATTTGCCAGTGCATAAGATGCAAATTTTTTTCACCCAAAGATAGTCTCTCGAACTAATTAACATTTTTTATACTGTTTGGTTCATTAATTGATTACAGCAAAGCATGTCACTTTTTTTTTTTTCCTTAGGTAAAAGACTTCAGTGAAGATTATACTTTCAAGCAGAAACTGTCACTTATATTTACATTATAGCAAGGAAAACTGAACAAACCCTGAGAGCACAGTCCAGACTCAATATTATATAAAATTGACAGCTTCTCTGTCTGCACAGGATCGACACTGCCGTTAAAAAACTTATTTTGATTCTCTTTAACAAATTTTTTATAATTTGTTAAAGAGAAAATTGTTCTAGTGTATACGTTCTTTTAAACTATTCTTGCTATTTTTTGTAAAGATGCTAAAAATCAAGCCAGTTCAGCGATTTGTCCCCAAATCTACATTTTAAGCGTAAATTATTGACAGATGTATGATTACCATATGATTTCATTCTCTTTATTACATCAAAAACAAGTTTTCTCTTTCGAGAAACAAATTTGTTTTGCTCTCCATCTCTAAGTTTGTTGATTTTTAGACCAATTTTAGTACATAAATTTTGGTTCCATAATTTGTGAATTTCGTGATGACCTTTTGCTTTGTTTAAAACTATCTTTTCTTTTGGCGGTTTTTGAATATCTTGATTCTGTAATTTGAGCAGCTTAATAAATTTAAAATTAGACAAACAAGTAACCCCATTTTCATGCCAGTTTTGAAGGAAACTAACAATTTTGAATAACCCCACCATTGATCGAATCTTTAAGGAAATTTTGATCCTAAGTGGTCGATCCTAGAATACGTGGTCTTAATGGAGAATTTCAATCCATGAATACTAGCCAGCTTCCCTTGAAAAGCAAAAGCATATGGCTACAGGTAGATAACCCTTGCATGCTTTGCTGCATCCAAAATTTAACCTATTTCAAGAGCGATCAGACTTCTTCTGAAGCAAATTTTTCGCAGAAATTTGCCATTTTTGAGTTCCCTAATTATTTCTTTCCCATTTAGCATATTTCACTTCAGGAAAAAAACTCAAATGAAGGCTTATTTGAAGTGTAGTATCAAATGAGGAGCGCCCACTAGCAACCGAGTGATAATGTTGCTGAACATAGGTAGTTCAATTCAAGGTCCAAATCCCAGCATATGGGCTGGCTGCATGGGCTTTTTCATAGTATTCTGCATATGTAACATGCAAACAAGCCAAGGACTTTCCCTTAGAAAGTCCTCTACGAAGGCATCCTTTCTTCCTTCCCTTAGGCTTGTAACCCTTGAGTGCTTTGCCATAAGTAAATAAACCAACTCAAATAAGGAGGAAAATATAATTGCTGTGCATTGATGATGATGTTTCAAATTAAGGGAGTGCAAAAGGACCTTGAAGTGCTTATTTTAAAGTAACAGACTTTATGCTATGTACTGTTGTGTACATACTACAGAGTGTTGACTCTATGCAATATGGATTCTATGCAGTATTGATCTTAAGAATGTGAGCCAAAATTCTCCATTCAGCCAGCCAATTTATTGTTGCTGTTACTAATTTTTCTGTTTTGAACTTCAGCCAAATCAGATGTGCGAGGCTGAATTACTTATGTCAGTGACTTTAGTCTTCGGCATGTGGCAGTACAAGTTTGCCTATCTCTGACCCAATTTTCATGGGAATCACTGTGGAAATGAGCCTGAGGTTCCTCTACCACCAATTTCTCGAGAGGAATTTCAGCCAAGCAATATTATAAATGCCCTAATGCTGCAAGGATACACACAGATTTCCATGCCTTTTCCAGGATTTGAATCTGAACCCTTAGCTTTAGCAGCTGACTCCCATCATGCCGGCAGCTAGTTTGTTGGCAATCAAATTTAAGGTGAAATACTAGTGTTCATTTTTATCTAGCCACTGGAAGGCTTCTTTAAATAGCTGTTTTCCTCATTTCCAATTTGTATCTGATCTGAGAGTTTAATGTAGAATTGCAGTCAAAAAAAAGTAAGTCGTTTCCTGCCCAAAATAATTTTTTAACTTGCCATTTCTATGAAAATAAATAAAATATGAAATATTACCCTCTCAATAAAATATTTTAGAAATGTATTGAAATCAACTTCCAATTTACTGGGGAAATACCACGAACGACATCCACGATCAATTCAGAATTGCAATTCATCTGAAAACCATTAGAAAGTATAGACAAGTGGTATAACCCTTGTTATAGTTAATAGAAAAATACTGATATTTTTTCCATGCATTTTTAAGCTGTTTCATCTGTAGGATAAGTTCATTGTGTTATGTAAATTAAATCAATATTCAAACAAAGACAACAATGTAAATAAGAGAAGAATAAGCATCATTAGAAATGAAGAACTGAACTAGCATTAAGATCTAAAGTGCATTAACTGAACTGGCGTTATAAATGGCATTAATGAACCATATTTGCAGTGGAAATGGAACAATATCATTGATTTTAATCTGGTGAGAAACCCTGTTATGTTTTATTATTTATTGTATAATGATTATACTGTATTATGGATCATATACAAATAAACTTATTGTGGATAAAAAGAACTTCCAAATACTGTGACAGCATCTGCTGTTCTCATTTTTCATAGACAGTTTCGTTTTACACTGTTAATTGGTGGCAGTAATGTTCCCAGCATTCCAGGAAAAGGAAACTTTTTTATGTAATATTTTAAAATTCATGGTCTGGTTAATCAGTCTCAGTTAATTAAATGTTGACTACGATATCCCTTCTTCCAAATGTGCCTTTGTAAAATGGTGTGCAATTTACACACCCATGTGTCTTATATGCTGGCAAATACAGTAATTTTTTTCATATTCACGAGTAATTTTTCAAACATCTAATACTCAGAAACTGAAAAAGTTTTGGTTTAAAAGTTTTAGATATCTGAGTCAGTGCTGAGCAGCATAATGAACTCAAAATAAAAGACATATTTTGTATATATATTTTGATTGTAAATGAAGTCTATTTTTATATAAATATTTGAAACTTTGTGCTATCTACTTGATTGTATTTGTAGCTCTTCGCATATACTCATTGTGTTTTTATTATTATTTATTTATTAAAAATGGGATTATATGCATTTCATTTTGTTTTATGCTGTTATTTGAATCGGGATCTTTCCCAAATAAATAAGATTAATTTTTAAATAATTGATAATAAATGAAGCTTATTTTAATTTTTATCTATCAAGTACAGAATTTTAAGAAATAATTTGCTAGAATATCTTTTTAAATCGCTTATTTATTTCATTAATTATGATTAAATTAAAAAAATAAGATATTGTGGTTTGGTAAATTTTTCATACTGTTATGCATGCATTACTGAAAGATATTGTAATTAATGCACAAAATGTTAGTAATGTAATGTTATATAGATAAGGATGTGCTATCTTATCGGTACTTATGTATTAGCACAACCACCTTGACACAGTTTAGCGATTTTTACAGAAAAAGTGAATGCTGGTTTATAATTTAAAAAAAAGTAGTTATTGCATCTGCAAAAAAAAAAAAAAAAAAAAAAAAAGTAGTTATTACTACATCTATATTTTAGGTTTTAATTAACTATTTATCTCAAAAATCCTCAGTAACCTACTTGCTAACAGTTTTATATAATTTTTTTCCTGGAGGAAATGTCGTGGTTGTTTCTTGAAAAATAGACTGAAATCAAATAATGTTTTCACCATTTTGCCTCAATTACTAAATTCCTGCAGAAATACAGTCAAAAGTCGTTAATCCGGACTCGTCGGGACTTCGGCGATTCCGAATTATCGATTTTTCCGGATTATAGATCATCAGTTTAAATCTCGTAAGATGGCATGCAGAAATTCTAAAATTAAAAATATGAAACTGTAATTTATTAAATAAAGAACAATTATGATCTAAAGGGTATCAAAATTTACCAAAAAAAAAAAAAAAAAAAAAAAAAGAAGCTTAATATTTATTTGCTTACTTTATTAAACATTTCTTTCAGTGTAAGTTGTTTAAGTTGCTTCGTTTTATGTGATAATACTTTCTCTTTAATTCTATAAACAAACATAATTTCTTGTTCAGTTACAAAGTTCCGCTGTTCAAGTCCCGTTAATTGCTGTGCCGAGAATACCGACTAACTTGTCAATCGAAATTTTTTCGTTTTCACTAACCTCTCTGTCACATTCTTCATGTTTTTATCCATCTTTTGCAGCAATTCCACTTTTTGTTTGATGGACATCGAAACATACTTTCGTTTTGTACGATTCTTTGGGAGCTCGAGAATCGGAAATTCTATTTGACATAATCGAAAGTTCAAGTTTACTTTTATAGTACAGTGGTGCCTCACACAACGAACTTAATTCGTTCCAGGAGCAAGTTCGTTATGTGAAACGCGTGTAATGAAGGTTCTGCTCGGCATTCTTTTCCAGAAACGACCTGTTTCATCGGCATTGAACACTTGTTGTGGGCAGTATCCTTCATCCTTAATACATTTTTGAAAGTTAATAGAGAACTTTTCTGCTTCTTTCTTGTCAGCACTGCCAGCCTCACCATGCATAGTAATGCTGTGGATTCCACACCTTTTCTTAAATCTAAAAAACCACCCCCTGTTGGCTTTGAATTCTTCTTCATTATCTTGATTGCTGCTACTTCCAGGGACGTTTTTCTTTAAATCGTCATAAATTCTCTTGGCTTTGTGACAGATAATATCTTGGGTTGTTACGTCACCTTTCACCTGCCTGTCCTTAATCCAAATCGCTAATAGCCTCTCCATTTCCTCGTGGATTGAAGACCTATGTTTTTCATGAAATACTTTTGATACTCCTTTGGCTGATTTGATTGCATCCTTATTTGTCAAAATGGTGAAAATGGTGGTCTTGCTGAGGCCCAACTCTTTGACGAGGTCACACTGTTTTACCCCACATTCTCCTTCTAATTATTTCCTGTTTCATTTCAACAGAAATCACCTTCCTGCTTTTTTTTAGAAGCCATGATATAAAAAAATATTGATTTTAACTTAAAAGGACGATATTGAGTTTAACTTAAAAGGAGGTATTGCCGCGATACGTGCTTAAGTTAAGCGCAGTGACTAACGACTGCCTGCAGTGCCTGCGCGTAAGGATGCAATACATCGGCAGCGATCGTGGAAGCTCGGGCGAAGAAGTTGGGGAAGCTCGGACGAAGCAGTCGTGGAAGCTCTGGCGAAGCAGTCGTTGGTGCTCGGGCGAAGCAGTCGTGGAAGCTCGGGCGACTTCGTTGTGTGAAACGAAGTTCATTGTATGAATCATGAAATGAAGTTCGTTGTGTGCAGCGTTCGCTGTGCGAGGCGTTCTTTATGCGAGGCACCACTGTATTGCTCTTACAGTCTGCAAAAAATAATAAGCCGGATCCAATTCGAAGATTAAGGAACACGCAATCATCAACATTAACTGAAATAGATAATGAGATAATTTTAGCTTATACCGTCTGTTATACATAAAACGCGCACGTGAAAACGTATTCTGCGCTTGCGCACACGCATATGCGCAGTCGTAAAAGGTCTTACGCGCACGCGTAAACGCCTATGAGCATGTGTCAACGCGGCGCATGCGCAGAAAGATTTTAGCTTCGAGGTCCGGATTATGGGTGTTCGAATTAACGACTTTTGACTGTATATATATTTTTAAAAATCAATTGAAACTTAAAATATTCCGGAAATATGACATTCCTTGTTGAAACCTGAAGAATTGTTATTACAGAATTTGGATCATTCTAAAAATTTGGGAACTTTTATTGAAATTGCTGCTTTGATACATAAGTACCAAATTATCATCAAACATGAAATCTCAACAAAAATTAAACTTCGCCGTCTTATGCTTGTTTAAAAGAGTATTATTTTGCCAAATGTGCTAGAGTTTCAGCTAGATATTTTATTATATTTTCATACATATTTTTGTATATCTGTATTAAAGTTCTAATTTAGAACTATTTTTATGATAATCTTACTGTATTGTGCTTGGTAAATTGCAAATGATTTTTTCTAACAGAGTATCAACGGATAAATATACCCTTTATTGTGAATTTCTCAGATTTTGAAAATGGAGTAATGTAGATTGCATCATCAAATTAAACTCTACTTGGTCATGTACTACTTACGTACTTTTCGTCGACTAGATTTGCACCAGTGATTCTATTTGGAAGGACAGATAGCTAGCTCTTTATTAGAAAATCACGTTAGATACATAAATAGAACCAAAAGTTTCTTTTAATAATAATAATTTGTTAATTTTAGAGAGAAAATTTTAAGAGTTTAAATTATTTTTTACTAAAATCTTTACTTCGATATACTTTTCGCATCGTTTACTGAACACCTCGGAAAAAATAGTCTGAAAGTATGCTCCCAACATATTCTGTGTATTCCCATTGTATTTTTTAAGTGTTCTTTTAATGTCATCATTATCGTTAAATCTCCTTTCACGAATGTCACATTCAGGTTTTAGGGATTCATTTGGTGCTAAATCTGAGCTGTAACGTGGGTCAAGGTCTTTAAATTTTAACTTCTGTATTGCTTCTTTAGCAATGATAGCTGGATGCACAGAAGTATTTTCGTGGAGAAGATAAACTTCAAAGCTTGGCATTCCACTCTTTTTCTTTTTAATTTCGTTGCGCAGGTTATGCAAAAGAGTCGCATAATATTTCCCATAAATGGTTGTGTTTCTTGTGTTTTATGGTCTTTCCGGAGGATCCGCTGATAGTCCGAGAAATGGTGGCCATTATCTTTTCTTTCGATTGTTGCCCTTTATTTATTTATTTGTACTTTACTTTTCTACATTTTATTGATTTCCTCTTCAATAGAGGAAACATAGTATAGAATTATCATTTCTCCTCGGCTACTTTTTTACATCGATCAAAAAATTTCTCTTATTTGCATTGTAAAGCTGCAACAAATGGTCATGGCAAATGGCACGTTACTGAATTGCTGAAAGAAGTCGAGATGCATGTTTTTTTGTTCATGTTAAGGTATTTATATAGAAATGTACTTAGTAGTTTCAAATAAATCCAATCTTGCTGCTATCGCCTTGACTTTTAATCTTTGATCACTCATTAATTTCTGGACACGAACAATTTATGCGTAATGTCAGTGTCTCCAATGGTTGACTTTTACGAGAATTACCATGTTGGGATTCTTGGCCTGTGAAATAGTTTTACGCATTCTTTCAAAGTAAAAATAGGAAGAATGAATCAGCATACACATGATCCAGGCGTTATTTTATTTCTTTGAATATAAGACATTCTTTAGTCGAAAATTATTCACAGAACAATAACCTGTTTTAAACATTTCAGAGCAAATTGACGCATCATTTTATTCAGTAAAGAGTCGGAAAAAAAGAATGAAAGAAATGATTTTACTAATGAAATTTTCAAATTAATTCATTTAGTATTGCCGCTACATGTCTGAAAATGAAACTATAGAATTTGTAGCCAAATGATTTTTTGTATATAAGACAGGAAAATCTAACTATGTATACAAAGAAGGCATTTTTAATTAGATGCACAAATTAACGGGTATAACATGCAAGTCAGGTCTTGAGATTCAAATGTATATTCACTTGTTACAGTTATTCACATTATAACCCATTGCTTTCAAATAAAGTCCAGTCGTGCCCATTTAATACGTACTTCTTTTGATGCCGGGACCCCATAGCTCTGAAAATACATAACTAAATTCTCTTCAGTAGATGGCAAAAACACAACCCCCCCTTCCCCCGCTCTCAAGCATAAGGGAAAAGCAAAGAAATAGAAATGTTAACTTATGTCTTTTTTGCTAAAGTAAACTGGTTTGTCGAGGATTAATCGGGATTACGTAAAAATGAATGAAAAATTGATTTTGACGTCATACTTATTCATTAATGGCGCTAAATCACATCATATGTAACTGCTTTTACTTTCCGAAAACTCTCGCTACGTGCGATGGAGTGGAAAGGACAACTTCGTTGAAAATTAAAAATAATATATTCTTAGTCTTTTTAAAGCGGTTGATGGAAAAGTACGTAAGTAACATATAAAATAGTTGTTTCAATGTCTTTCATTTAGCTTGAGTTTTAAATTATTATTTAGGCACATGAAATTCCACTCTCTGTTTATCTGTTGTCTATTTCTGAATGTGAAACTGTGCAGCTTCCTTTTTATTTGAAACGAAAAGTTGACCTTTGCAAAAATAAAGGATTTAGAGAAAATATCTCTGTTATTATTGTAAAATGTTTCCTGTTATTGTTATTAATTTTAATTCTGAAAGCTTTTTGTGGTTAACTGCAGTTGTTGAAGCTCAGATTAAGAATTTTAAAAATATCTAGAAGTCGCGTAAAGAACAAATTGAAAATAAAATTCATTAATATATCTGGAAATGGCAAAAATGTTACAGAGAAAAATAGTGCAATCTGAAAGTTTCAGATTGTAGTACGAAAAGAATTTGCTCTTAATATTTTTGATTAATGTTTATAAAATATTTTAAAATATAAAAACTGGTACAAATATTTTGCTTCTGTTGTAAAAATAATAATATCTGTTGTAGTCCAC